AGGTGGGAATTTTAAATTTTAAATGTCAATCGTAAGTTAAAAAAGAACATAAGAGGCAGAGAAATTGTAAATATGAGTATTGAACTGTTTTTGTATGGTATTTATGATCTATTTGAATGACACAGCTTTGCAAGCAAACAAATCATAATGCGCTAGCCTTAAATAACCTGTATGATCTAGTGCACAGAGAATTGTAACATTTACCATACTTATCCTCCAATAAACCCAGGGAGAGTACATAATCTCTAACTCAAAGTAATGGAAGGCCAATAAGATAACATTTGTTTGTATTTCTGCTGAACTTCATGGTATGTGTGTGTCTATTACAAGACATGGGCTTATTACCAGATAAATACGGTAATCATACTTCAAAAACGTCTGATATGCGTTTAGAAATCTTACTTTTGTCTAGACTTTGATTCACAGGTATTTACTCAGGTAGCAAATACTTTCATTCACTATTGTCCTACCAAGCTCAGGCAAAGTCTGTGCTGTTATTTGTTGAGGAAATTGTGTTCCATTCAAATATTTAAAAGATAATCGGTTGTCATTTCAAATGAAACAGGTGTGCAGTTGTAAACATCATATAAAGCTTTTAAACCATCATTGATCAGAAAACTTAATAGATCAGAAAATTTAATAGATCACAAGGTACCCTGCTTATTTCTAAGATTCGGTGAGAACGTCCTGTTTGCCAATTGAAAGCAGTCTTATATGCAATGAAAGCCAAACAATTAAGTTTAAGGATGCCTGTACCACTGCCTAAAAGCATTCATTGGAAACTGGGTTTTTCTGGCATGACTATATATAGCTTTGATGAATAATTTCTAAGAAGATCATACCTTGTGGGGCTTTTACGGAGAGAAAAAAATAACGAGGAAATAAACAAATTCAATCTCTAAGTGTAGACATTCAGCAGGGCTTAACGAGGATTTGATTCAGATTGTTATACTGTCACATTGAGCTGGTCAGCAGAACGGGCCCAGCTGTGCTTCAACTATATCTAAAAACAAAACTAAGGGGAGGTTACTGTTTATTTGAAAAAATTAAAGCGCGGTTGAACAGTGACCCTTAATAGTTTATCTGGTTCTGTTCGTAATATATTCCAACTCTCTCATAGTAAGATTCAGGGAACACTTCCTGTATGTCAATTTCAACCAGTCTCATATGATGTGTCTTGCTATGAACGCCAAACAAATTGGTATGTCATTTTGATTGATGTTGATTTTAATTGAAATGAAACCTTCTGGTAGGGCCACAGATACCTCCAGTAGTGCTAATTTATAAATAGCCAAAAATTTGAATTTGAAATATTTACGGAACTTCAAAGTGTCCTGCTGATGACTAACATTAATGTATGAATGACTGAATCAGACTTTAACCAAGATCATGTGTCAATGATTACAAGAACGTTGAGCCAGGATAGGCAAAATTAAGTTAGATATATGTTTCAGGGTCTTACCTAGCAAGTTTTTGCTTGCCATATCCATACATTTTTTTCATGTTGTTTTAAACAGTTAATTTATATCAGATAGTTTTTGAAGAAATTACCTTAAATAACATTTTCATAGAATTTCTTCATGCTTATGATTATTGCTTGATATTTTTACTTCAGGAAGTAATTTTTGAAGTGTTTCAAGGAACTCATGAATACTCCTTACAATGAATGTGTTGAAAACTTTTTTACAAGATATCATTTGCATAATTATTGAAAATGGGGAAAAATCATCTATCTAATAAAAACACCATCTCATTACTTTTAGAGCAACACTTTTGCATAAACTATTACCCTCAGCTTATTCCGTCTTTTCGTATTGCAGAGTTATCTGCTCTTGTGAGCAGGTATAGATTGTTACGTCATTAGTTCGTGTGAGAAAATTACGTCATTTATTCAAAAATGTATGACGTTACTCTCGCAAACAAATGACGTAACAATCAATACCTGCTCACAAGAGCAGATAACTGCAATACGAAAGACGGAATATCAGATAACAGTTCTTGTGCCTCGGGGGTGACAACATTGCTATCACCCTCAATGCCATTGATCATGATGAGAATTTACTATTGCACACCAACCCTGTAAAATGAAAGTGAATGTAAATGTATCTAGGTGTGTATATATATTTATATATATATGTCTATATACAATGGAGTTTTATATCTGACTACCATCAGGGGCAGACTAGGGTCACTGTCTGAAACTGTTATTGTTCGATGATCGGTTGATAATAGGAGTCTACACTGCATCTAGATTTTCTCCCATTATACCACACTTATGCAAGTAGACTATTAGTTTTGTGTAACATCGTGGAGCACACAAGCTTTTATGGTGAGTATGATTTACATGTTATAAAACAGATAAAGGTAATGTGTAGTACTTTTGGTCAGGAAAGTAGCATAAATTTTATACATATGATAACTGTCAAAGATAATAAGATTCCAAAACATGTTTTTAGTGTAGGTTTGTATAGATCACTGATTTTGATACTTCAATATCTCAAATATCTTGATTAACGGGAGTGACAGTAGGCTTTAATGGTCGTAGCGTACCATTACTCGGAAACTGGTTGATTACGCAGGCTCGGTGATTCTTGTGGTATCAGTTGTTGTATAATTCATACAAGATTTTGTTCTGTGTAGCAAGTTTATTGACAACAGATACCAGGCTATAAATGTACGATTTGGTCACTGAGCAGACCAGGTACAAAAGCAGCCATGTGTGACGTTATGATGGATTAGTCCCAATCAGTATAAAATACCTATATCGTTAGTTTCCTGTCTGGTGTTGGTACAATAAAAATGAGATTTTACAAGATGGTTGACTATATATCTAGATATTTGTAGCACTTTTAGGTGTATAGATACATAAACGTGGTATATGTCCATTATCTATTTTATATTAGCAAGAAATACTGAGTGGAAAAGGTTACAGCCGTAGTGCTTTGTATCCTGAGAGTTGATTGTTTATAAAAAGCATGGTTGGTGAAAGGCCAAAGTATCTATTTGTATTACCTGTTTTTTCTGATGACATGATTATACATAAATACACACTGTATTTCTGTCTCTCCTCCTTTGGTATTTTAGCGTCATAACTCGCATTCTATCGACGAATCGAGGGCCACACAGCTCAAAATACTTTTAATACTGATTGTTTAATATTGTATAGGAAACAATGACATAGGGATCACAGCCAGTTCAAATGTCATGTTCATCATTAATGTAACAGACTTTTAGTTATCATTCTTGGGCTCAAACGTCGTAATGCAAGTTTCATATATATATAGCACAATACATACAGAGCTTGCAAGTAATCGTATAATTTGATTTGTTAAAGTATAGCTTCCAGAATATTGAGGATCATGGAGTGGAATCAGCTATGTTGCAATTTCAATGGCCACAGTGGTTTAATTAATACTTGGCGTAAAATTTGAGCAAACGTCTATCCATATACAAGCCCGTCTATCCATACAAGCCCGTCTATCCATATACAAGCCCGTCCCTGTCATGAAGCCATTGAGAACAATTGCATCTGCTGCTGGTAATTACACAGGAAATGGACATGCTGAAGTTCATTGCCCGTGACCTTTGTCCTTTTCACTATAGAATTATCTCCCTATCCCTGTCTGATGACAAAGACATGAGGTCCTGACTCACTCGGACACAAATCACCTCACATCATGTCGAAGGGCCTGGTGCCTTGTGGTCAGTGTTTATCAACACCAAACATTCCCATCAGAATAACTGAAAAAGGACTTGAGAAAATTATTTCACCTCACCTAACCTCACATATATCTTTTATTGCCACACAAGGTGTGCATTCACAGAGAATTTGCTTTGTCTTTAGTTTAATTTTAAGGACAAAATCATATCAGGTCTTCAAATTTGTTGTCATTTTAGTACATTATTCAAGGAACTTTAGCAAGTCTAAGACATAGTCTGAGCTGACCCGTGTACAGGAATAAGTAATGATCAAGAACCTTTAGCAAGTCTAGGACATAGTCGGAGCTGACCCGTGTACAGGAATAAGTAATGATCAAGGAACTTTAGCTAGTCTAGGACATAGTCGGAGTTGACCCGTGTACAGAAATAAGTAATGATCAAGGAACTTTTGCAAGTCTAGGACATAGTCGTAGCTGACTTTTGTACAGGAATAATTAATGATCAAGGAACTTTAGCAAGTCTAGGACATGGTCAGAGCTGATTTGTGTACAGGAATAAGTAATGAACAAGGAACTTTAGCAAGTCTAGGACATAGTCGAAGCTGACTTGTGTACAGGAATAATTAATGATCAAGGAACTTTAGCAAGTCTAGGACATAGTCGGAGCTGACCTATGTATGTCAGCTGTAGAGCTAAAAGATCAATGTGTACTATAAGACATTGTGATGGACAGCTGTTGATTGGTCAACTGGCTAGGACACCTGTCCACCTGAAAAACTGGCCAGAGGAAGGAAAGCTTTGTTTACTTTGAAATAGATTTCTAATGCATTGTATTGTCTTAAGTAAAAGTCTTGTTTTGTTTTGAAGAGGGTATTATTTTGGACTGAGGCATAAGAACGCAAATGTAGTTTGATGCACCAGGTTTCATTTTACCATATATAAAGCTTTGAAGTTGTGCAAAGTGAAACGGAAAAGATAAAAACAAGCTTCCACAGACAGAGATTCTCTTACCAGCTTTTACCTGGCTTTTTAGGACCAATCCAGTACAGCTGAACAGGTGTGCATATATACAGAAAGTGCATAGGTGCAATCCATTTAAAGTGAAATAGCTACGTCTGTTCAGCATATTTCATGATCAGTAGTAAAATGAAGAATTTGTTAGTGATGCAATATTTATGACACTGTAAGCCATCGGTGAGAACAGTTATCATATTGCCGTAGCTATAGTACATGACATTGCCTTATTTATATCTGTTCACAAAAATGGACATGACACTGGAATTCTGCGGGTTGTAAAGTTTTCTCTTGGGGTTGTGCAGGTTTCTCTGGAAGTTGTGCAGGTTACTCTTGGGGTTGTGCAGGTTCCTCTGGGGGTTGTGCAGGTTTCTCTGGGAGTTGTGCAGGTTTCTCTCGGGGTTGTGCAGGTTTCTCTTGGGGTTGTGCAGGTTTCTTTGGGAGTTGTGCAAGTTTCTCTGGGGGTTGAGCAGGTTTCTCTGGGGGTTGTGCAGGTTTTTCTGGGGATTGTGCAGGTTTCTCTGGGGGTTGTGCAGGTTTCTCTGGCAGTTGTGCAGGTTTCTCTGGGAGTTGTGGAGGTTTCTCTGGGGGTTGTGCAGATTTCTTTGGGAGTTCTGCAGGTTTCTCTGGGGGTTGTGCAGGTTTCTCTGGGAGTTTTGCAGGTTTCTCTGGGGGTTGTGCGGGTTTCATTTGGAACTGCTTTGACCTTATTTATCTGTATGTGAAAGTTTCTGATGTTTTAATTGGCTCTACTCATCATCCTCTTGAAGAAATGATCCGTTTCTTGTAACTATGATCACAGACTTGAAACGGTCTGTGAGTTACGTTTCAGTGATAATGTAGCTTTATAGAGCTATAACTAAATACAAACCTGTTCTGTCTGATATTTCTGTATCATTAATTTTCTTAGATGTGATTAACAGATTCACAATAGCTGTAAATAAGGTTAAACATTTGTACGATTCAAAATGGAACTCATCAATTCAGATTTATTTTTCTTAACAAGTTTATCAGAAATCCATATTTTACCAACAGACTGGGTTACAATGCCTGTAAATATTGTGTGACTCTAGATCTAAGACTTGGCAAGACTAACAATGATCACTTTATATATGGATTTGGGATGTTGAATCTTGTGAGATTTAAATTCAAATTACCACAGTTTTAATGATTGAAATTCATTGAACAAATTCCTTGGGCTTTACCTTTTCAAGTTTCGCTTTAAAGTTTAAAACTTGTTGAAATGTTTTTTTAAGACAAAACTTATGCCAATGGTTGTGTTTCTTTTGTAAACAACAACGTGAAAAACAAGAGGGATATTGTCAGGTGTGCATGGTTATAACGATATACAAACACATGGAGCCTCCAGACTGTAACGCATTGATCATAATCTGATAAGCGTTTGAGTTGTAAATTATGATGTGAAGGGAGGTGAGGGTAACAATGGTATTGTTCATGGTGTCTCGGTATGTTAGATACACATTACATATTATCAGATGTCTGAACAGGAAGATGAGTCATGGTTTAGTAAGTTTTTCGTCTTTAGTCAGCAATTTTTGGGATTCTGCACTTTTAGTCAATGATCTACTGAAAAGATTTTCTCAGAAAGAAATGATTTCATTTCTGGCATATGATAAATGTATATTTGCATATATGTGTATATACATGCGTGTAATCACATATGTGTGCATATCAATCACGTAAGTGTGTGTATCAATCACGTAGTGTGTGTATCAATCACGTAGTGTGTGTATCAATCACGTAGTGTGTGTATCAAAAACGTAAAGTGTGTGTATCAATCACGTACAGTATGTGTGTTTGTGTGTGTTTGTAAGCTGTATCAATTTTATGCCCAACTGTACAGAAACTTTTCGGGATTTTCGACACATTTAGAGGCTAGTGCTTGAAAGTTTGTGGTGTTGAACATATTTTAACCCATAGTATTCCTTCTGTTAGAAAAAAGTTCATGTTCAGACCATGGAAGGAGAAAAACACCTCAGAAAACCAAAAAGACCATTATGTCAGAAAATATTAAGAAGTGGTTGGAAAAAAACATTAAAAAGTGTATAAGATATTGAGTAACATAAGGTAGTACACATAGTCCTTCACTCAAAGTAGGGGGCTGAAATTATAACAGGACAATGAAATAGCATTTGTTTGCATTCCTACAGAGCTGTAACAGATTTGGGTGGGTTATTACCAGGCACTGTTTGATAAACATGGTAATACTGCTGTACAAAGTGGTACGTACTAATATGTAACACTAACAGGCTACATCTAGCCAGCAAGAAGTTGTAGCATGGCCTTACAATACGTTACACACTGCGTTTTCACTGTGTCGTATCATTTGTTATTTTTCAACAGATTAGAACTAGCCACGTGTAACAAGGAACTTGTTGACTACAGGTGACATATGATAGCATTATGTCAATATATATACATATATAAAGACTTGTACAGTTGTAGAGATCTCGGGTTTTGAACAAGGTATACCCGACCCGCGTGTCTTTATGGGGGAAAAATCATCTGAGAGTGCATCATATATATGTCATACTAAAGGGTCAAGGCCATATGATATGTTTATGTGACTTGTACGGGATGTCGGACATTTTAAGTATCATTCATTTATTACCTGTTTACTTAGGAATGTTTCATTTTCCTTCCCCGTTTAATATTACATCAAGAATGAATTTATCCTGACTGAGTTTTCAGTGATACCTTACCTCCCAACAGACCTCGTGTACTATATATGAATGGGCAGAATTAGTGTATGGCAAGTAGTAGTTTTAGTTTGACTACTGATGGTCAACCTATTTGATTGAGTAAACAATTTTCTCTATGCATGTAATAAGAAGAACGGGATGGGAAAAAAACTGTTAGCTTTTATAATTCAGCTCATTCATCAATGGTAATGGCCTATAGCTACTACAAGGATACCACCCCCCACCCCCGCCCCTCGGTAGGCCCCCAAGATAATATTTCCCTTTCCTCCGTAATTCACAAGTGTTATCATGCATATGAAAGAAATTAACCTGTGCTCTCATTTATTGGAATAGTCATTTGGGAAACATTAAAAAGATGAATGTGTATTGGAAATCTGATACCACCAGGGACATTCATTTGAATGATTACGGTATTAGTAACATTTAAGATATGTGTATAGAAAGTTTAACTCTGGTCAGCTAGCCTGCTTGTGTTTTGTAGCCTTACTCTGCTACATTTAGGAGAAACCCTGAACTTTGACCTTTACATTGAATGATACATTACTGCTGAATTATGATTTACTCCTTTCTGATAATCATTTCACTAATGTTTGTACCACATTGGACTCTGATAAAAACATATTTGATCTTATTTAAAAGTTATTTTTTCTGTGATTTTAAACACATATCTATCCTGTACAGATGGAGGAGGGTATGTGTGTATAACATTAGATAGCGTTATCAAGGAACATCCAGACTTCCTAGATAAATAGGATTCAGGACTGATCATCAATGTGTGCAGTCATCTCGGGTTGTGGGGTCGTGTTGGGTCGACTCGGAAACTTGTAAACATTTATATGTAGGTCTTGGAAGGGAGATAATATGGAAACTGATTACCGTTCTTGTATATGGGGCTGTCACTGACAGTCAGTCCCCCTCTTCTTCCCAACAAATCATAGCGGGAGGTCTTTCTGTCTGTTGATTTCTCTCTGTAGATCATATTTGTCCTTTTCAATCCTGAACTGCTAGACAGAAAATCAGTTTGTTAACTACAACCAAAGCATATGAAGGTATTAAGTCAGTACAACCAAATTATAAAGCAGGGGGGGATTTCTTGATCAGATTGATCAGTGAAAATGTTTATCTGTATGATCAGAAATCAACAAATATTTTTTTCGTAGTAAAGAACTCTTTCCAAAAGGAGGTGCATTTGTTAGTTAGACAACATATATAATATGCTTAAGCTAAAGAGTACCATCAAGAAACAACTATAAATTAGAACTCTTCTTCACAAGTATAATTGTTGCCATGGTAACCTTTACCTTTAGGGAGGATTCTGGAGAAGAAAAAAGTTGGGTGTAATGGTTGGTATTGTTATATTTTACAGATAAACCATCGCCATGGCAGCCACAGCAGTTAACCCCGCCAAGCAGATCTTGGGAGAAATCAGCAAGGGCCCCAAACTCCAGCATGTGGAGGTTACTGAAAAGAACCCCCTCCCCAGTAAAGAAGGTAAGATATCATCTGGGGTTGACAGGTCATATATAGGTTAAAAATGTTGTTTTATGTGACAAGTTATGCATATTTATATCTGGAAAATGCAACAATTTTTAGATGCAAATGATTTCTATTACAATTTCTGAAGCCAACACTTTTTTTAAAGATTCTAGTTTCACTTGTGCCAAAAGTATCTCTTATTGTAAATGAATACAGAATGAATAGATCTTGTCAATACAAAATTGTTGTGACTGTCTGAGGTTAGCGATATATAATACGTATCTACCTGTGATGGTAGATTTTTTATCTATGTCATGTTCACTACTTCCTTATTGGGCTAAAAGTGTGATTTTGAGTGATGTAAAGAATTTTTAGAAAAAAATCTTGCAGCATTGATACATGACTGTGTTATTATTTTCCTTGTTCATGGAAAACTTCGCTATAACCTTTATGGCTGGTAGTGCCTGGGTATGCACACGGTTAGGGAAGTAGTCACTATACCAACTTTATGATACTGCATGCATGGTGATACGAAATATATAACGACAGTTGATACCATGTAGATACATAATATCACTAATGCATATAAAGACACTATCAGAAACGCTCAGCAAATTAGGAGTGGGACAACTGGTTCGCCTGTTGTCAGTATAATGTGACCGGGTGAGGCGTCCTGATGGGTGTCTTTGGCAGTATGTTTCAGTGAGGTAGCACTATAAAGTCGGCATCAGTTCCGCGCTATCACAAGGAGATAAACACGAACATATCGCAGCCTCCCAAAATACACACGCATACACTACACGCATGCATCTTGCACACAGGGGAGGCCGTCCTTAAATGACCTTAGCTGTTAATAGGACGTTAAACAAAATCAAACAAACAAACAAACTATCAGAAATACAGCTTATGGCGTAATTGTCAATTTTTTTGGCAAACAACATATGTTTGCCGCAATCGCAGTGAAATACTACCATCTTTGCCGTAATTACAGTGAAATACTACCATCTTAGCCGTAATTACAGTGAAATACTACCATCTTTGTCGTAATTAAAGGGAAATTCTACCATCTTTGCAGTAATCACAGTGAAATACTACCATCTTTGCCGCAATCACAGTGAGATACTACCATCTTTGCCGTAATTACAGTGAAATACTACCATCTTTGTCGTAATTAAAGGGAAATACTACCATCTTTGCAGTAATCACAGTGAAATACTACCATCTTTGCCGTAATTACAGTGAAATACTACCATCTTTGCCGTAATTAGCACCCCTCTTCTACTAACGCCCTTCCTCTCATTTTGACAGTTCTATATAAACTTTAATTTATATCTGTCACTAGTTTTGCAACCTGACAAGACTGTTTCCCAGTGTTTAAGAAGTAAAAGAGAACAGTTTTGAAATTTTCCCGAGGAATGTGACCGTGACTGTTAGTGAAGTTAGTGTAATTATAAGTCGTCTATACAGCGAGCCACTGACAAACTTAGGTTTTGTTGTTTTAATAAATGCCCCTTTTCGCCAAATTTCCGATCTCCCTGTGTGCTATTTACGGCAAATATGGTAATAGTAATTACATTTGGGGAAAACCTCATTACATCTGTTGTGTAATAAACATGTTTCCCAAAATTTCCATTCACATGATATTCAGGACGATAATTTCTGTTGTTTCAGGAATTTGTGAAACTTATTGGACCCTTGTTTAGCAGTATATAATATGATTTTATTAATGAGGATCTAGTTAATAAATTACTCTGTATAATAAAAATGCTAAAAATACGAATCAAATTGAATTAGGATGATGAAGCTCAGATTTAATCATACAACTTCATGGTATTTAAAGGTGTTTATGAACTGCAAAATGGCATGGTATTTGTTTACATTTCCTGGCCATGGTTGTTTACTGCAGTTTGGTATGTCCCACAGTTCTTATAAACACTAAAATAGCCAGCTTGTGTTACACAGCTCAAGGACATAAGGTGTTGTCACGGTAACAGCATCCCCGTGCTGATTTAAAATGATTGATTACTGGATTTTTTTGTCATTATCTATATTGAACTGTTACACTACAGCTTGACAACTGTGGTCTGTTCTGTAGGATACAATTTCTACAGGGCTAGCCAGACATAGGGGAAATGTTTGTGGTTTACAGGGAGTGTGTGATCAAACCCATTAGAAGACGATCTGTGTGTGATTCTTAGGTTACCTAGCCAACAGACTCCTAGAGTTACTTCATAAATAGGTGACCACAACAATGTCAGACTAGGTGTGACGTTGACTAGTTTCTATGTGTTAAGAGATTTCAATGTTAATGATTACATTGTATTCAAATTGTGGTCACAGTTCATCAAGAATTGTTAATCATCATCCATTTTCATGCTGTATTACATTTCAAATGAATTAAAATAGTGCTTTAAAATACTGATTCATCTGTGGAGGTCAATATTAAAACAACTCGTGTCATTTTGCTTATTTCAAAATCAGTAGGTGTTCATGTTGACGCAGTTCAGATATCAAATTGAAGAATAAAGAAACTGCAGGGGATCCCACATACTTTCAGATCTAAGGTGTCTAGATTGTAGTTTTCATTGCCCGACTTTAAAGCCTGTCAATTTTTACTGTTACCTGACTGGGGATTCTTTTGATGTATATCAAAGGATTGAACTAGTCTTCTAGTCTCATCAACAAGGTGGCACACACTGAGCCTTCGACTTTGCTATGACATATTCCAGAAGTGTAGAGAGCGAACGTTATTCCAGAAGTGTAGAGAGCGAACGTTAGCGTAACTCCTGGATATCGAGGATGGTATTGATGGTGTCAGTTTATTTCCTGTATGGAACCTCCAATGTCTGGAAATTCTGTAGTCTTTTAATCTCCATCCCATAGAATTACACTTACATGCACATCAGTCTTTCTTTTCATTGTAAATAGTGAAGAAATTCAAAGGTTCATTCAAACCAAACCGAGTTTTCCTTTTATCCGTTACCATTGTTACAGGGTGTTGTTTTTGCACATTGGCAAAAAGTTTTGTTTGTTGCTCATCACATCAACTTCCTGCCCAATATAATTCTGTGGGAGTTAGTTAAATTGTATTACTCCAACCAGAAAAAGAAATGATTTTGTAGTCTTAATTTATATAAAAAAAATCTGGTTTCCACACAATACATGTTTCCCTTGCACATGGATTACTGATCAAACCTTTGAATTATCTTTAATTTCTGAATTTCCTGTGGTTGTTTTAAAATTGCAGTTTTATCCTAAGATGACAATCAGGAAATGAAGTATAACAGCAACGAACAAAGCATTGCGTAGATTTTGTGTTCGTTTTTAAAAAAGACAAAAATGAAAAAGTATAAATGAACTAAACTGAAAAATTAAGAACAAAGCAGTCTGCTACAGCTTTGCCTAATTTTCCCATCTCAACGTTACCTGTAGTTGCGAGCATTGCCTTTCATTTTATGATTCATCTGTTGCAACGTTACCTGTTTAATGCGAGCTAATGACTTGTGTATCGTGGCTCTGTTAGATGTAGAAACAGAGAGGTCACACCGGCTATTCCTGATGACCCTACAGAGCTTTGACGCCGGTCAGCTCTCGCCAACAGACACACAGGAGAGAGTCGTACTACCCGACAGTACCAGTGAGTCTGCCTGCTGTGTGGACAAACGTAGCCCATCAAACCATATATGTCTATATAAAGATTATACCGACAAAATACCAGAACTATCATTAAACTCCATATCCAGCATATATTTGTAAAACTGATTTCCTGAAATCTCAATCATATTGGAATTAGCTCAGTGTACACAACATCATGTCTGATTGTTTTGGGGGAAAAAAGAATATACCAAAATTTTACCTGTAACCAGGTACACTTGGATGTTAACGAACGGACGTAGATTACATAATGTTGTGGAGTACGGAATGTAATTTTATTTTGATCGAGAGGAAAAGTGAGTCATACCCTAAAGTTGACTTATGTTATTTAAAATCTCCTTATTATCCTACATTTTATACATTATCTTTGTTATTTCATCTCGGTATTTAAAGTTTCCATGATTTAAACTAATTAGTGATTCTGAAAAAATCCTTGAAAGGTTGTATGTTTTCCATGATTCAAATTTAAATTTTATTACATTTATATTATTCAATTTTGATACCTTTGATTTGTTCCCCAGATCAGAGTCATCACTGCAACAAATAAAAATAAAAAACTTCTTGTATCACTATGAAAAATATATTTAGGAATTTAATCTTCGTGGTTAGTATAAGAGATTGATACAATGAATCAAGTTGAAAAATGGAATCGCTCTTAAGTGAAACTGTCGAGCTCAGATTGTTTATTTTGATGTAAACTATCTCCGAATGCATGTTTTTTTCATGGTGGTTGGTCGAATGGACATGGAAAATATTCCAATGAGTAATGAGGCCGTGGACTCTTAATTCTTGCCATACTGATTGGTTGATGGTTTCTGAATTTTCTAAAATATGAAATATATAATATTAGTTAAGCATGTATTTCCTATTAGTAATCTACTGTTATTATATATCGTACTGTATATACTCTATAACCTAAAAGGTTTTGGTAATTTCAGTACTGATAGTTACATATAGTTACATATAGTTACATATAACCTAGTGTTAACTGCATGTACTGCTTATTCTGTGTATACAGTGGAACCAAGTCAATTAGAGAACTCGGACAGTCTGGAAAAACATTTACTTCTTTGTTCACTAATAGTTTGCTTTTGCTTCACATACAAAAAAAAATAAAAAATCTGAAATTTCACAAAGTACTGCAAGTCATTATTTTTTGGGAAATGTTATTTTCATGTTAATTCAATCATGAATTACAATTTCTGGCAAATATTTAGCTTATTTCAACAAAGGTTTATTTAGTTTCTGTTATTTTTTGTATGAATTTAGATCTTCACACACTAGCAAAAAATAAATACTCACAAAATTTAAGAGGTTTGCAGTATCTTGCTCCTGACAAATGAGTTCCACTGTATAAATGGTGCTTCTCTTCGTAGTCTGTTGTATGCTAGTATCTGCACCGGGGCTTGTATAATCCATGTATATATCAAATACTGCACAGGGGCTTGTATAATCCATGTATATCTCAAATACTGCACAGGGGCTTGACTATATATTCTATGTATCTGCTGCATGTTCCTGTAGTGTTAGCGGAGGAGAAGGCTCGGCACATTCACCTGGTCAGTATCTCCGACTTCCCTAAAACCGACCTCAAGCAAACCTTGCTGAACGAAAAGATGACCTTGCCTGATGTCTGTAGTAGGTACCACCTAGCAATGACAGGTGTAACAACTGTGTTTTGATAAATTTATATTACAGTTACATGAACAAGTGAATTAAGGTACCTGTTATTTACCTCAATAAGCGATGCCCCCCTCCCTCCAATACCTCAGAGTTGTTTTACAGTAGCACTGTAGCTACTTTCATTTCATCCTTTGATATTAACACTTTTGTAATGTGCCTTATGGGCATTAACTTAATGAAACATTACTAGCTCATGATCACCTGCCCAAAGTACAAGTGAGCTTATGCCATAGCACTTTTCCTTCAAAACACTACTAGTCCTGAACGGCACAGTAGATTTTGACTAAATTTGGTCTGGAGCATCCTTGGGCCAAGGGCACTTAATTTGTATAATGCGTGGGTGTGGCCCCACTGGGGGCAGAGGGGTGGGGCCCTTATAGGGGAGATAGAGGTAAAACCTTTAAAATCCTTCTTCTACCATAGGGATTAAGGGGGTTTATTCTAATTTTGTCTGAAGCATCCTTGGGCCAAGTTGAATCAATTTTGTATGAACAGTGGGCCGAGGGGTGGGGCCAAATAGGGAAAATAGAGGAAAACCTTTACTGTCCTTCTTCTACCATAGGAATTAAGGAATTTTATCCCAATTTGGTTTGGAGGATCCTTGGGCCTCGATTTTGTGAAAATGGTGGGGGTCGCCCTTAGGGCAGAGGGGTCAGGCCCAATAAGGGAAAAAGAGTTAAAACCTTTGCAATCATTCTCGTACAATAGGGATTACAGATTTTATTCCAATGTTGTTTCCATCAAGTTGTCTTGTAGTGCCTGTTACTTTTAGGATGTATTTATTAAAACAAAATGACCACCAGGCCACCATCTTGGATTTTGTCATTTGAAGTTTGTTCTCGCTATATCTCCAGAAATACTGGTTGGATCTTTCTGAAATTTCATATGTTCATACAGTACCTACCAAGGAGTGCTATATCTTTACCTCATATCAAGTATCCAGGTGAGCGATATGAACCCTCCAGGCCTCTTGTTTTACTGTTTTACAAAAGTAAAACCAAAAACAATTTCCCCCTTCCACATTCCCAATCATATGCCCATAGAATGCTTAATATGGCAAATATTGAAACTATCATATATATTGTGAAGACAGCCTACTGCAAGTCAATGAAAACAGCATTCATTGTTACTTCCCATTGCTAGACACACACCATCTGGTGGTTATTTACACCTTCCTGTATCTAATGTAGTGACATCTGGTGGTGAGTCACCCTTTCTCTGATAGGTGGTGAGTTCCTGTGTCTAATGAGAAATTATATGATTACAATTGCTTTCCCTACCATCCCTCGAAAGGATAAATATACTGCAAGAGTAGTTGATTTCTGTGTGTTTAAATATGTACTGCTAATTTATATAAGCAACTGTTCAATTTTTCAGTGGACCATTGAATTAAGTCCAATGAAACTTTTAAAACTGTTACAGACACACGAAAATCGCACACCTCAAAAATGTCAACTTTTGCAGTATATTGACCAAAGCAATAGACTTAAGTTAAATAAGCTTGAGCTTGTTTTATAATGAGACTCAAGTTACAATCAATTTGCAAAATATTTTACAATCAATTCGCAAAATATTTATTGCAATAATATGCTTTAATTTGGAAAAGTATTACAGATCACATATTTGAAAATGGTGGGTATGTTTCGCAGTGCAGTGTACCAACGACTCAAAAGTCTTGGTCATTTAGAAGCTTGTATATGTGACTTCCGTATTATGTGCATGTTTTTGTGTCCCCAGCTATAACACAGGAGAAGACTGAGACAGAACACAGGGAGAGTTTGCAGACATTTGACAGAAACAGTCTAAAGAAATCAAGTCTTTCAGAAAAAAATCCCCTTCCTGACGCTGCTGGTTAGTACCCCGCCCACATAATCATTCCCTGTATGATAGCCTTCCTACTTCATTCTGAAACCTACCCTCACAACCCACGAATGTACAATATCCCTTGAAACTATTTATCACATCTTCACCCATGCAAAAACCCTTGCATGAATTCCAATGTCATGAAATAGGCGCCGTTGCAGCTGTATTAACCACACTGGGGAGTTTGAGGTACAATTTCTGTGGAAAGTTTTTAGTTTGATTCTTGCTTACAATGCATATATAATTACCGTGCTTGTATTAACTGTAAGGGTGGTTTGTGACACAAATTATATTTTCAAGTTTATTTTCCTCTTGTAGGAATATTTCACTTGTTACACAACCATAAAATGAATGAAATGAAAAATACTTTGTATTACAAAGTGTTATTTGCTAGTGTACAGTTATCTCCCCTTCCTCAACTCCACACTTTATCTTCTTGTGCCACAACTGTGTTACAGTTAAACATCCTGGATAATAGTGCTGTACAGATATTAACATCCCCATGCATGTGCTGCTTTTATTAATTCGTATTGTAGTATTTTCAACAGCATTACATTTAAACAACAAAAGTTGTAAAACTTGTTTCCAAATCCAATTTCAGCATACTGTGAAAAAAAAAAAATGGAATAAAGTTTATATTAAAATTGCAACAAAAATTAAAACAGCTTTCTAACATGACTCATATAGAATCTGTTTTTTCCTTCCTGGAAGTTTCCTGTTTGTCATTGCTGCAGACTGAAGAGCGAGGTTACTCGTTTTCAACCATTTTAGTTTTTAGAGATCCAGGATCCCCATACTACATACAATTAGCCAACATGGAGCTAAATAATAGTCGAGCCTTGTAACTCAACCTTTTATATTCCACCACTTCATCTCGATTGCAAAGTGGATGGATTGTTGGGACATTTTTGTATGGAAAAAAATAAATCTGTTCCCCAAAACACTATATAGGTGACAGGCAAGGGGATAATGGTGGCTGAATAAAAGAAGCTTGACTGTCGTTATCTTCTGAAAGTTTTCAATTTTGAAATGAATGTATTTGTGAGGTGAACCCCATGCAGTCCTCAAGCAGAAGAAATTTTTCTTGAGATTTCCTTCTTGCAATGATCGNCTGGTTGGATCTTTCTGAAATTTCATATGTTCATACAGTACCTACCAAGGAGTGCTATATCTTTACCTCATATCAAGTATCCAGGTGAGCGATATGAACCCTCCAGGCCTCTTGTTTTACTGTTTTACAAAAGTAAAACCAAAAACAATTTCCCCCTTCCACATTCCCAATCATATGCCCATAGAATGCTTAATATGGCAAATATTGAAACTATCATATATATTGTGAAGACAGCCTACTGCAAGTCAATGAAAACAGCATTCATTGTTACTTCCCATTGCTAGACACACACCATCTGGTGGTTATTTACACCTTCCTGTATCTAATGTAGTGACATCTGGTGGTGAGTCACCCTTTCTCTGATAGGTGGTGAGTTCCTGTGTCTAATGAGAAATTATATGATTACAATTGCTTTCCCTACCATCCCTCGAAAGGATAAATATACTGCAAGAGTAGTTGATTTCTGTGTGTTTAAATATGTACTGCTAATTTATATAAGCAACTGTTCAATTTTTCAGTGGACCATTGAATTAAGTCCAATGAAACTTTTAAAACTGTTACAGACACACGAAAATCGCACACCTCAAAAATGTCAACTTTTGCAGTATATTGACCAAAGCAATAGACTTAAGTTAAATAAGCTTGAGCTTGTTTTATAATGAGACTCAAGTTACAATCAATTTGCAAAATATTTTACAATCAATTCGCAAAATATTTATTGCAATAATATGCTTTAATTTGGAAAAGTATTACAGATCACATATTTGAAAATGGTGGGTATGTTTCGCAGTGCAGTGTACCAACGACTCAAAAGTCTTGGTCATTTAGAAGCTTGTATATGTGACTTCCGTATTATGTGCATGTTTTTGTGTCCCCAGCTATAACACAGGAGAAGACTGAGACAGAACACAGGGAGAGTTTGCAGACATTTGACAGAAACAGTCTAAAGAAATCAAGTCTTTCAGAAAAAAATCCCCTTCCTGACGCTGCTGGTTAGTACCCCGCCCACATAATCATTCCCTGTATGATAGCCTTCCTACTTCATTCTGAAACCTACCCTCACAACCCACGAATGTACAATATCCCTTGAAACTATTTATCACATCTTCACCCATGCAAAAACCCTTGCATGAATTCCAATGTCATGAAATAGGCGCCGTTGCAGCTGTATTAACCACACTGGGGAGTTTGAGGTACAATTTCTGTGGAAAGTTTTTAGTTTGATTCTTGCTTACAATGCATATATAATTACCGTGCTTGTATTAACTGTAAGGGTGGTTTGTGACACAAATTATATTTTCAAGTTTATTTTCCTCTTGTAGGAATATTTCACTTGTTACACAACCATAAAATGAATGAAATGAAAAATACTTTGTATTACAAAGTGTTATTTGCTAGTGTACAGTTATCTCCCCTTCCTCAACTCCACACTTTATCTTCTTGTGCCACAACTGTGTTACAGTTAAACATCCTGGATAATAGTGCTGTACAGATATTAACATCCCCATGCATGTGCTGCTTTTATTAATTCGTATTGTAGTATTTTCAACAGCATTACATTTAAACAACAAAAGTTGTAAAACTTGTTTCCAAATCCAATTTCAGCATACTGTGAAAAAAAAAAAATGGAATAAAGTTTATATTAAAATTGCAACAAAAATTAAAACAGCTTTCTAACATGACTCATATAGAATCTGTTTTTTCCTTCCTGGAAGTTTCCTGTTTGTCATTGCTGCAGACTGAAGAGCGAGGTTACTCGTTTTCAACCATTTTAGTTTTTAGAGATCCAGGATCCCCATACTACATACAATTAGCCAACATGGAGCTAAATAATAGTCGAGCCTTGTAACTCAACCTTTTATATTCCACCACTTCATCTCGATTGCAAAGTGGATGGATTGTTGGGACATTTTTGTATGGAAAAAAATAAATCTGTTCCCCAAAACACTATATAGGTGACAGGCAAGGGGATAATGGTGGCTGAATAAAAGAAGCTTGACTGTCGTTATCTTCTGAAAGTTTTCAATTTTGAAATGAATGTATTTGTGAGGTGAACCCCATGCAGTCCTCAAGCAGAAGAAATTTTTCTTGAGATTTCCTTCTTGCAATGATCGTTCAGTATTTAATTTTCAGATCCCTTCCCCCCTCCTCCATGTACCCGTCGTAAATCATTAAACTTCTTACGTTTCCCACTTGTAGCTATCCAACAAGAGAAAACGGAGGTTGAACTTCGACAGAATGTAGAGAATTTCAAGAAAGAAGGACTCAAGCATGTGACGCCATGTGAAAATAGCCCTGTTACTGAGGCAAAACTGGTACACAACGTCAAGAAGTTTGATGCCTCACAGCTCAAACACGCAGAAACGGCAGAAAAAAACCCTCTCCCAGACCAGGAAGGTTGGTATTCAGTGTCCAGAGATAACCAAAAATAATGTCAATGAAATCTATAGTTGTCATGTACGACAAAAATGGCTAGCAACTACCTATGTTTTCTACACAAAGAATTAATCTGCATTCATCAGAGATGAAAGTTCTGACGGACTTTTTGCAATCAAATATGAAATATTTCCAACAAATTTCCTCATATTTATGGTTTAATGGCACTTCTACATAGCAGCTACTGAGATTTATACAGCCGCATACTTTAGACCGAACTCGCACCCAATGGATGGGAAAATGTTCAATTCCACTTCCGATAATGAACTGACAGTAATTTTGATTACATTAAATCTTCCATGATGTCTCCTAAGAGCTGTGAGTTTAAAGAGAATTCACTGGAAACAAACCTTGATTTGACATTTCTTTACATGAAATCTGCTTTCTCCTGTTTTTTTGATAATATGTGAATCAAACATGTTATGATGTATTTTTGTCCGCGTTACCTGGTTATATTATTATTTCATTCTTTTGTACGTTAAGCAATCAATGAGGAGAAGAAAGAGCAGACTTTTAGGAAATCTGTGACTGATTTCGACAAGACAGGTCTCAAACACGCGGCTACTGTGGAGAAACAAGCTGGCCTTCCAGGGGCCAAAGGTGAGTTGGTTTATAAATGACCAATCAAATGACCTCTTGAATTACAGTACATGATGTATAACGAAGTGGTTTTGACACGGTACAATTTGTATACCTGGAAATGTACATCACAGTTTCATTTTCGTCTTCTGTGATGAAGGCAAATTCATTATGAGGGCAAATTTAGTGCATAGCTTATTAAATAAGTAGTTCTACAATGACTATCGGTACCTTTCTTAATAAACATAGGATTTCTGCTATGAATTGAAGTACAAAGCTTACTATAAATAGTAATTCTACAGTGAAGAGCGAAGAGCAAAAAAAGCACTGGGTGAATATTAATTATATATATAGGAATGGAGAATGGGTTAGTATTGTACGTTTTTTTCTGTCCATCTTTTAATTTTGAACATTTTTTTGATGTCTAAATAATGACTAAAGATGAAGTCATATATATAACTGAAATTAGTTACCTGTTTTAGGGGCTAATAACTGAAATTAGTTACCTGTTTCAAGGGCTAGGAATAATTGGGATACGTGTATTATGTGCTGTTGTGGGTACAACCTGTGATCAACCGTTAAACCTAACTTATGCCTTATTTGTGATTTTGTTATTTTGCAGAGATTGCAGAAGAGAAACAGGATGAGGGACTGAAGACGGCCATCAAGACATTTGCTCGGGAAAGTCTGAAACAGTCAAAGACAGAGGAAAAAGTTGTACTTCCAGACGTCGAAGGTAAGACCGGCCATCCGTCTTCAGAAATATTGTATTTTGACAAATTAAAACGTTGTTTGATAGAGCTTCAAAATAAAACTATTATTTCTCTTGTATTTATGTTAGACTTTACACAAACAAAACAAAGGCCTGCATTTAAGCTTATCCCTCTGACTGTGTGTTAGATAAATATAATTTTGCACACTTTGGAGATGAGGTAGGTAGATCTGTATCCAAGGGTAAAGTTTCTAAAGTTTCCAAACACGAGGCTTGTGTTTTTACAACTTCTGAATCTCTCCGTGTCTCTTTGGGTTGACTGATGGTTTTTCTGTTAACCTGTTGACTATCACATATAATACAATTTTGACATTACGGGGTCCCTGCTTTGTTGATTGGAATCCTTTCCAAGGTAAGAGAACTAGATGTCAAATAACACAACAACTATGCTAATTTTCAATGTCTGATACAAAACAAAATCTGTCACCCTAAAGAATGCTCCTGTTGCCTAGACTGTGTCATTTAACTGGAGTGTTAGGCTCTGGAGAAAAGCCAGGCACCTGATTTCAGGCCACGAAAGTAGAATTTGCAAGCAGAGCCACCCCAATGTTATTTCTGGATTTAAAGTTGTGTAATACTTAAAACTTGTTACAAAGTCAGATATTTTGAATACCTACTTTTTCTTAAACTTCATATTTGGACCTAAATCAGTTATATCAAATTCTGTGTCCAACTTTATAAACTCCCAAAATGGTGAAAATAATATGGCCAAAACAAAATATAGTCTTGTTTCCTGCTACCCGACCGACCCTGTCTTTTCATGCCCGACCATAAAGTTTTTCTTTTCGATTTTCCAAATTTCCGGAATTCGGTGCTTTCACCAAACTCTGATTTCGGTCTTTCTTTAACAACATGGCCGCCTCCAGTGCCATACCAAACCCGAACGTGTATAGTAGAAGGCTTATGATTGGTTGTTTTGTCATTACTTTCGATATTTCCGGCAGTGTACCCTAGTAATAACCAAAGGTGTGCGAGAGAATTTAAATCGAAAAAAACAATGTCATAAAAATGGCGGACGTGTAGATTGAATCGATGAATATGATGGTAAACATTTATTCTCCAGCGTCACCTACGATGATAATAAAGGTTTTGAAGGGTTTGACATGTTGGATGTGGAAATACTTTGGTGTAGCATAATATGTAACTTTCCAATGAACGGCTTTGTGCCCTTTGTAAAGAGGAAAATATCGGCATACCGAGGCGCACATGTCGTCTGCAGGTGAGGCCGAATTGAACATTGACATTGATATATTTTGAGCCGATTGATTTCTTCAAACTATTTATCGATGATTTAATCATAAACTACACCGTAGCTAAGACATATCTATATGCCGACTGTGACAATAAATATATTGAATGACGACCTGAAACCTGTAGCAAATCACATGCAGTTCTTGATGAAATACCTGACCTTTTTACCTGAGAATCTCCTTGTAAATGTACAGCGTCTTATGTCATAAATGAAGTTTATAATCTGTTTCATTTGACAATCACATTTGATGACAAAAATAATTTAAAATGGTCTTTCTGGTGCATCCGATTTACCCTAGGCACTGTGTATTAAGTACTTACATTAAACAGGACTAAAAATCAGCTTGAAATAATTGACCTGTCATATGTTACATTATTATGCCACAGAAGTCCATACCTGAAAAAATGAAGAGGAAAAAAAATGGAAAAAAAAATAAATCATTTTCCTACCTACCTACCTTATTTTTTTATGGGCGGTAGCAGGAAACAAGACTATATATTCTTGGGGAGGGGCGCATATAAGGGACAAGATGCTTGGACCAGAAAAAGGATTCTTGGGGAGGGGCGCATATTAGGGATGAGAGGCTTGGACCAGAAAAAGGATTCTTGGGGAGGGGCGCATATAAGGGACAAGATGCTTGGACCAGAAAAAGGATTCGCATATTAGGGACAAGATGCTTGGACCAGAAAAAGGATTATTGGAGCTTAAAATTATGTTTGTTCATTCGTTCACTTCCTAACTAAATTTAACAACAAAGTTTTTGTTGTTGACAATGTTCAACTGAGATGTTTTTCAAGCACTAGCGTGAACAGCAGAATAATAAGTAGGATGTCATGTAGATTACGGAATGAATGGAGTGGACAATGTAGGAAGGCAGATAATGTTAATCGTACACTCAACTGACGGAGTAATTAAATACACCTGACGTGTTTATATTTAGAGGTGTGATGTATTTGATGTGGTAAGTAGCACGTTTTGTGAGTAAGGTGACAACCTCCAGCCACTTTAATCGGTCAGCTTTGTTAGTTATCTGTCTATGTCAGGGAGAACAACAGGAAGGAAGCTAGTTTCCTGAGTAAGGATGTTAATCGATGACCTGAACGAATCCGTTTCCTGCGGAATGTTGAATATCCATGACAACTTGTTAATATGTGTGTCCGAAGAAAATGTTGAGACTTGATCTCTGAATTAAGGTTTATTATAATATATTATAAGCTTGGTTTATCAATTGACTTGCATCCACACATTTTGACCAACGGCCAGGGAAAATAGTTTCTGGAATAATAGGCGATTGATTGATTTTAAAATCTGGCCTGAATATCAAAACCACTTTTGAGTCTTCATCATGACCATATCAACACAAACTTCATTCTCCATTCATAATATTACCTTAAAGATTTTTGAGTTCAAACTCAGCTTCAAGCAGACTCAAAGTCCACTTCTAATGAAAACGGAGATGTTTTCCTTAGTTTGATTGTGCTTCCTGTTTGTGCATGAACATGCATTGTCAAAACTGTTAAAGAGTAAAGTGAGAGTTTCAAGAGGAGAGAAAGGAAATGTTGAGCTTTGTGGCATGGCTTGTTCAGCTGATGTTTATGCATGCATGATGCATGCAGTTGTATGCATTTTCATGCACATTGCTTTCTCCATTTTTCTGACTAACAAATAGGACCAATCACCAGTTATAACGACATCATGATAAAAATATTTAATTAAAGATAAACAGGTATGTACGTATAGCATTAATTAGCAGGTTTGTGTTAGGGTTCTATCTCATTTGATTTCATAAAAAATTATAATCTATCACAAGTTAGAGTACATAGTGTAGTGTGTTTTATCGTAATTTATTGAGAACTCAGCGAGGACTACCAAATACTTCATATTGGTTTTCTTTTCAAGAAATGGCCTTCTGTATCCCCATGCTTGATTATAAAAGGCAACAAATATGAGACCTGTTGCAGAATTAAGGGTATTCTTCTGTAAGGTATGTTTGACTGACAAGGTATCAAATAGTTTATAGATTTGTTTATCTCTTTCTAACAGCTTACAGGTCAAATGGTAAGGGTCATTGAGGACAGGTTCTCTTGGTTTTACTTAATTTGGCTGTAAAGAATATCACAATATGTCAAATGTTGTTTGGCTGTGTGGAAATGTGTGGTCCTCCGATAGTGTAGTCTCCAGTACAAGTATACAACTTTCTGTCCTTGTTTGGTCAGTGATCCTGGCGGAGAAGAGGGAGGAAGCGCTGAAGACCTCCATCAAGGATTTCAATCACAAAAAACTGAAACGATCTCACACTTACGAAAAATGTAGTTTGCCTACCTGGAGTGGTAACTAACATTGTGTCATTCACATGGGTACCTTTGTACCTGTGTACTGTTTTCCTTGACGTAGCATGTTTCCATATTTTTTACTTGGCTTGCTCTCCCCAGCATCCTGTTTCAATTTTCTGCTCTTGTGGTCTTACGTTTGAGATCTTGCCGTGCAGTTGTCTGATTTTCATGTTTACCAAGAATAATGAGGGGAGTAACTCTGTAATGGACTGGCGTCCCTCCTAGAGGAGTGTTGTGCTCCTAATATGTGACGACATTAAAATAATGTTTGGTTGGATAATCTCACTGCTGTGTATACCTTTATCTCATCAATACGGCATACCTTTATCTCTCATCAATACGGCATACCTTTATCTCTCATCGATACGGCATACCTTTATATCTCATCGATACGGCATACCTTTATCTCTCATCGATACAGCATACTTTTATCTCTCATCGATACGGCATACCTTTATCTCTCATCAATACAGCATACCTTTATCTCTCATCGATACAGCATACCTTTATCTCTCATCGATACGGCATACCTTTATCTCTCATCGATACGGCATACCTTTATCTCTCATCAATACGGCATACTTTTATCATCAGCATTATGTGTCTACCTCTTTCAATGATGTGTGCATACCTCTACATCATCTTAACTTTTAATAATACCTCTTCTTTGTTTTTGATGCAGCATGACTATACAGTAGAATGTTTTTACTCCTATCCATACAGCTGTACAATTGGGAAACAAATATGTGGGGAAGTAATTTTAAAACAGACTAGTATCCATTTCTTCAGTCGTTCTGTACCATACTAAATTCAATTGGCTTAGGTAGTTTTAAAGTTTCAAATTTATTTTTGTAACAAACGATTGCAGAGGGCCACATTGCAGTTGATGAACTGGTCAGTAACTTGCTGGGGGGTGGGGGGGGGTATATATGTATAATCTTGATGTTTTAATTATTATATAAAATGACGTACATATCTATAATCTTAAATGTATGTGAAGTTATTAATTAATTAATTACAAAAAGCCACAGCAGTTTCCTAAATAAGACAGTTTCAAGTGCTAGAAGCACATTGATGAATTTCGCATCCATAATATGCAATAGATGACAATATGCCGAAACATCAATAAGCGAATTTCGCATCCATAATATGCAATAGATGACAATTTGCCGAAACATCAATTAGCGAATTTCGCATCCATAATATGCAATAGATGACAATATGCCGAAACATCAATTAGCGAATTTCGCATCCATTAGCACTTTTTAGGTCACCTGAGCTTTAGCTCAAGTGACCTATTGCTATCCGTTTTCGTCCGTCGTCGTCCGTCGTCCGTCGTCCGTCGTCCGTCGTCCGT